TTGTGCTGTCTATAATGTCCTATACTCATAAATCTGGTCAATGTCTGATCCAAATTACTTTAGATCCACTTTCTTTATTATCTCACATTGCAGCAGTAACAAATAAATTGTTTGGGCACACTTAAATGTTGAGCTCATCTTTATCAGCTAGGAGCTTTTTAAACAGTATATTTCTACAGGATATAATAGCTGGTTATTGGCATGTGCTCATGACAAAGGAAGGTTTTTTTAACTGACTTAAAGCTTTTTATGTGATCAATTATTAGACACTACATTTAAACTGATAAGCTTTTGTTTCTCACGAAAGCTGCTTCCTTGTCTCAGAAAGTGCACAGGTAACTACATACAGCTGTTTGCTATTGGGAAGATTTATTTGATCTCAGTGATCAAATCTCATCTCTTGGGTCATCTAAAACAGGACTGGAAAAGGCATTAGGGAATACACTATATGGAACAATATTGCACCGGCAGAGGAACGGACCTGATGATCTAATAGGTATTTTCCATCTCTACCTTCTGTGATTCCCTAAAAGTCAGTCTTGGATCATGCTGCCTTTTTCTTTCTCATTAAATTCTTTGTATGTGACAGATCCTGTGCACAGCCTAATATCATTTCTGGTGACAGAAATTTGTCTGCAAGTCTAGGTGCAGTTTTAAACTTTTGCAAACCTCCTTATGCTGAGGGACATCTTCTGACTTTGGCCACGCTCTCTGAATCTGAGGACAGGCTACGATTCTCCAGTAAGAGTGAGTTGGCAATTCGGAAGTATAACAAAGCTTGTTTGGAAATCACAGTATATTATGAATCACTGGGACTACTAACACTGCAGATCTCAAAGACAGATTGTCTCCTGGCCAGCCTATGCACATTGCTATCTACTGGATTAGGCGTTCAACTAGGAGGCAAAGGGACCTGGGTTCTAATTCTACTCTGCCATTGACTTGCTGAGTGAACTCACCCATCTGTAAAATGGAGATAAAATTGCTTACCCTCCTTCGATACACCTCTCCCTACTTTGAGACCTACTGATGAAAAAATGCTGTACACGTGCAAAGTGTTACTGTTGTTCGGATTCTGGAAATTTGTTACAGAAGCTTGGAGTCCTGCTTATTTCAATGGTTTAGCTTTGTTTTATTCCATGAGCATATAAAACCCATCACTTTAGTCTGATAATAATAATATTTTGCACCTCTATAGTGTCCTCAAGCTGAGGATCACAAAGCACTAATATATTTCATTGGAACACTTTTGCGAGTAGGTAAGCATTACCGCTCCCACTTTACAGACTGGGAAACTCAAGCACAGGGAGATTAAGTGATTTGGCCATGGTCACACAGTAAGTCAGTAGAAGATGGCAGAACTTGTGAATTGCCATCCTGAGCATTAACCTCAAGACAACACTCTTCACCTGCCAGACTTTTATGCCCACACAGTGTTGGAGGATGTATTATTAATCTATGCCACGTTTCTCTTTCAAGTCACTGGAAAAAATGTCCTAGGTTTAGTTCTAATGCAGACCTGGGGCAGAGGGGAGAGACAGCAGAATCCTTATACCAGAGCTACATTCTCAGTGGATCTCGTGGAAATCACTGGATACTATTTTCAAATCCCTGCCCCTCCCCAGAATATTAAAGGATAAGACAGTAGTTACTGGGCTCTTTTTAAAAACAAAAATAGGTTGCTGATTCGGCCTGATGGGCTACTGGTTTCTTTGTACTACTGTGATTGGAAATCCACAGATTCAATACTATTGTTTATCGTTGGTACTACAGCAGCACTTAGAGGCCCCATGTGAGATCAGGGCCACACTGTGCTAGGTGTTGTGCGAACACACAGTAGGAGACAGCCTTTGCCCCAAAGAGCTTATTCTCTGAATAAACAAGACAGACAAAGGGTCAGAGAGGGCACAAAGATGCACAGAAGCCAAGTGAAGCAGCTTGCCCAAGCTCACAGAGAAGGTCAGTGGCAGTGTCAATCTCCTGATTCCCAGATCAGTGCCCCACTGGATCACCCTTTATCTCCATGCAAGCAAGTCCAATTCTCCCATTGTCTGGTTCATCAAGGATTGGAGGTGTGGCAGAGGCAGCAGGCTCACTCCTTAGGATGTGTGGAGTATATTTCATCATCTCTACAGAAACTCCTACAATGATGAAGGTTTGGGTTGTGATCTCCAAAGGGCTCCACTCCAGGCCTCTTTGGCAATATAAAAATAAGATACTATAGTAATAGCTACACTGTGTACTATTGCAACAAGCAGCTCCCTTTCCTAATCTGTGTCTTTTAAATTCAACATATATCTTATTGCATTTCTGTTGGTAAAACAATCTATCTAATCCAAAATATTAAAATTTGTAAGATGCAAGATTAAAGATAACAAGCAACTTCTGGTTAAGCAAGAGACCCAGTTTGCTTGTGGTGCCATGCTAGCACCTCAGTCTCCGTTCCTCCCAAAGCTGTGAAACCAGTCTTCTCATCTCAGTCTTGCAAGTTAACAATGAATGTGGCAGCTTCACAACTGACAATCCTTTAAGACACTGTATTTGTAACCTGATGCTTTAAAGAAATAATAAAGCAAGTCAGATTTAACTCAACCAAACTGATTCTTGGAGCAGCCAAATCTCTGGCCGTTGACCTTCTATGAGCCCTTGAAACACTTACAAGACTGAGCCATTACAAACATTGAATAATCTATCTCCCCATGTAAGTCTTCTCACACTTCTTATCAAACTGTCTGTACTGGGCTATCTTGATTATCACTTTAAAAGTTTTTTCTCTTACTTAATTGGCCTCTCAGAGTTGGTAAGACAACTCCCACCTTTTCATGCTCTCTGTATGTGTATATATATCTCCTCAATATATGTTCCATTCTATGCATCCGAGGAAGTGGGCTGTAGCCCACGAAAGCTTATGCTCAAATAAATTTGTTAGTCTCTAAGGTGCCACAAGTCCTCCTGTTCCACTTACAAGAAGGAATCGGAAGTGGAAATACAACTATTTCATTAAATAAAATAAATAAATAAACAGAGATATCCTATCTCCTAGAACTGGAAGGGACCTTGAAAGATCATCGAGTCTAGCCCTCTGCCTTCACTAGCAGGACCAAGTACTGATTTTGCCCCAGATCCCTCAATGGCCTCCTCGAGGACTGAACTCATAACCCTGGGTTTAGCAGGCCCATGCTCAAACCACTGAGCTATCCCACCCCCCATGCTAAATATCAGGGTTGGAAGGGACCTCAGGAGGTCATCTAGTCCAACCCACTGCTCAAAGCAGGACCCATTCCCAGACAGATTTTTGCCCCAGATCCCTAAATGGCCTCCTCAAGGATTGAACTCACAACCTTGGGTTTAATCAGGCCAGCGCTCAAACCACTGAGCTATACTTTGTACAGCAACCAAATTCAAAAGAGGGTGTAAAGAGCAACGACACTAACAATCCCACAGAGTCAGAAAGGATGTACAGTGTGATTTCTCAGAAACAGAAGTTTCATCTGTGGAGTGATAGGAAGTTTGGTTCCTTTGAAGACAGACAGCAACGTTTCAAACTAGTGCTGGTTGGTATGATTCCTATGGCTGGGTTGTTTACTTGGTGCAAAGACCTGGCCAAAATCACTGACGTTTCAAAACCTGTGGCAAAAACAGGGTGTGATCCCTATAGGGCTGAAGCTGCTAACATGGGCTAGGCTGTCTGTGATTCACTAATGAGGCTGCGGGAGAGGCAATGAATGTTTAACATAGTTAACCAGGCTCCAAAAAGACCTCTAGAATTCTCTTATATGCATGGTGATAATGATAGCAAAATCTGGCTAACACAACATTAGTCAATGAAAGGAGCAGAGATTCACTGAAAACAAGAATGCAGAAGGCCAGCAAATATATGGGGCCAAATTCTGCGCTAATTTACACTCTATGTGATTCCACTGCAATAAAGAGGTTCTCACAGGGTATAGATCAATGCAGAATTTAGCTCATGAACTGTACGTTTGAACATGTCTTTCCTAATAAGCAATGTATGATTCTGTTTATTAAGGTGTTTTATATCACATCTAGTCCCTCCCTTGTAGACCACTGTCTCTGGGAGTAGCACTTTATGTCAGTAAATTCCAACCACTGTTGTGAAAAGCTGAATGTTTATACTTAAATTACTAGTAGTCTGCTATTCTTAGCTTAGTGGTTGTAATCACAACACAGTAACCCTTACCCAGCCAGAGTTGGAAAGTTCCTCCAGAGTGACTCCGCCAGTCCTGACGACTGTACCACCCAGTTTCAGTGCTAACAAGTTTGCCCAGCTGAACATCATAAACACTAATGGGCTAACTCCCAATCCCACTTACTTCTGTTTAACTGAAATGGATTAAAATGTGCAGTGATATAAAGCTACAGTTATGCTAGCAATACCACGCTGTCACATGCACAGACAACTGGAAAATGAGAGGCACCCCATGACCGGTATTCCTCAGCTGTACATATTTTGACCGAAATAATGCCGTTTCTTTCCTCTGACTCCATTTGTCAGTTTGGCAAAAAGACAGTTGAGCAGGGCCTTTGTGATTTTGGAGAGAATCAAGGGAAGAGGAGTAGATGTCGGTGTGGTACCTTTCCTTTTCCTCTCCTGGCCATGGGGCACTTCCTGCAGTACAGTGCTTTGGGGAGCAGTAATGGAGATGAAGCTAGAGGTGGGAATGGAGTTAAAGTGCAGCAGTAGGGAGTCAGGAATCTGGATTCTGTTATCTGTTCTGTAAATCAACCTCCTTGCTCTACTGTAGCGGTTCTCAAACTTTTTGTATTGGCAATCCCGGGGGCTGACAGCTCACAACCCCCACGTAACCATCTTGTGACCCTTTGAGGCTAATAAACCATGACCCCCAATTTGAGAACCCCTACTCTACTGGATGAAAGCAGCACTGAAGGCCTCAACCTTTTTTGTTTTCATAATTAATAAGGCATAATACCAACTCTGTGTGCTCCCCGGCAAGCAGAGAAGTAACAGCAACACCTACCCATCTCCCTGAACTCCATGTTCACAAGCTCCAGCCAGCAAGCATCAATCTCATCCAGGTCGTAGCGGATCACTCCCTGTGAGCACGTCCTGTGGACCTCCGAAATCTCAGAGACAGACAGACTGCTTGGGGAAACCTGTGGAGACTCCTCTAGCAGGGGCGTAATCCTAGGAGAAGAAAAGGAGAGCGTAAGAAGGAGCTGCAGTAGGTAAAGAATTTATCATTAGAAACCTGACTACAAACTATTTATCCCTAACGCCCTGATCCTGCCAACACTTATGTATGTGCTTAACTTTAAGCAGTCCCATCACGAGCAGTCCCATCAAAGTCAACGGGGCTACTCACATGCTTAACGTTAAGCATGTGCATAAGTGTTGGCAGGATCAGGGCTCTTACACACATGCCTAAATTTTCAAAAGTGACTAGTGATTTTGGGTGCTTCAGATTTGGAGGCCTGACTTGAGCCATGCAGAAGGCATGATGCTCAGACAGTGCTGAGCAACCACCCTGTGAAAATCTGGTGTCTCAAGTTGGGCCCTCAAAATTGAGGCTCCCAAATCACAAGTCGTTTATGAAATCTCCATGATTTTTTGGACACTAACAAAATACATTGAAAAAGATGAAGATCCAGCCTACACACAAACGTTGTACCGCTTTAACGGTACCCATCAAGTTAGGGTGAACCCTACCTAGCATGGCCACAGTTATACCGGTATAAAAGTCCATATACTGGTATAGGTTATTCCTGCATGAGAAGGGGAGTAAGCGCCACTGGCGTAAGCACTTTTATATTGTTATAACTGCAACCACACTAGGGGTTCCACTGGTAGAACTATTTTGATAAAAAGGTAAAAAGTCACCCGTCTAACTGACACAGTTATACTGTAACCACAATCTGTGCAGACTAGGCCTAATTTACAGGAGGAAAAATGCTCATGTGCTGACACTAGATGTAGTCTTTGTAAACACCAGGGTCCCTATTCATGTAGCAACGGCTTCACAAATGAGAAGGACAGTGAATGTTCAGCACAAAGGCGAAACCCCGTGTGTTTCACCCCTGACCTCGCAGCAAATCTCAACGTTCAAGTGACCCACATTGCAGACACTCTCGGGATAGAATGCACCTTTGCAGCAAAAGCTTGTAGTGTGTGGGCACCATGGGAAGTGCAATCTCTTTTTCTACCCTTTAATGGACTTATATTCAGTGATGTAGGCAGTGGTTTATCATTGCATCAGGAGCCGCAGTTGCACTCCCCTAAAAGGTACGTGTGGTATCGTGGGAGACCCTGAGAGATGCTGGCTATTTCGACAGGATACTAAACCTTCTTGGTTATCTATCAACCCATAAGGATCGTTGCCATAGCAGGTGTTGTTTTTAATTGATATATTCGCATAAGCAGTGATTAATGCAGAAGGATGTGTGCCCTGCATCTTTTTAAGCATGTCCCAGGAGCTGTAACAGCACGAAAAGGGCATAGATTGACTTCCCCTCCATATACCTTGGCATTGCTTCTAACTGAGAAGCAGATGGTAGACAAGACAGCCCAAACAGAGGTAAAGAAACCACCAGTGAGCAATTACACATCACTAATTTTCATTTCCTTAAAATAAACAGGAATAAAGAACCTCCAGGATAACAACTCAGCTGCTTAAAGCGGTGGGTCAAGGAAGGTGTTTAAAGAGTCAGATGCGCTGCTGCTGTAAAAAAATACTTTGCGCTGCTTGCAATCCGGGTGGGGTGACTGCCTTCAGATGAGAAAGAGAAGGATGTGCCAGGGTAAACAAGACACTGCACCAAAACAAACCATTTGAGCTTAGTTGGGGGGGAGGGTTCTGTTGATCTCTTTCAAAAGAAAAATAATGTGAAAACAGAAAAATATCCACATTCGACTTTGCTAAGTATTTGGTTTTTAGGTACTGGAGAGGCTATGCTTTTCAAAATGTACAGTAAAGCACTCGCCACAAGCGTGGTGCTTTGCCTAGTGGTTAGAGCAAGGCACTAGGATTCAGGAGGTCTGGGCTGTATTTCTGGTTCTGCTGCTAACTTGCTGCACGAGCTTGGGCATGTCTCTTACCCTCTCTGTCTTTTGTTTCCCAATCAGTAAATAGGGATAACAATGCTTACTTGCTTCATGGGGGTGAAGGCATCTGAAATTGATCTATGAGCAGAAGGATGGTCTGGTCTGGTGGTTAAGGCACTGAGTTGGAACTCTTGAAGCAAGGTGCAGATCCCAGCTCTGCCACAGACTCCTTGGGCAAGTCACTTAGGGCTTGTCTAGACAAAAATTTAGTTTGCGGCAAGGTGGGGTGTGAATCTACCCTGCACTAGCCTGCCATGAGCTAACTGTCCACACAGACCCTACTGACGCTCATTAACAATGTGTTAATGCACTTTGATCTAATCCTCTTTGAAACTGTTGGTGTGCGCCAGCAGGGTCCACAGAGACAGTTAGTGCGCGGCAGGCAAGTGCGGGATAGAGTTACTCCCCAGCTTGCCATAAACTCATTGTTTGTGTAGACAACCCCTTATTCTCTCTGCTTCCCATTTGTAAAGTAGGAATAATAATCCTTCCCTTCTCTCACCCTTTGCCATGTCTATTTATACTTTAAAATGTTTGGGGTAGGAGCTCTCTCTTACAATGTGTATATGGAGCACATAATACAATGGGGATCCAGTCTTGGTTGTCCCCCCTAGGCACCAGCTTAATGCAAGATCAGCCCCACTGGTCTTCTCCAGCGGATGGTGATCGACAGCGGAAGTGAAAAACGTTACTGCATAAGGTATCTGAACATGAATCCCACGGATTAGCAATAGAGTCCAATGCACACTCTTGGCTGAGACAGCATGAATATTTGTAAATGCGTTTTAAAACTTGTATAAAGATTGAAGTACCTCGAAGCAGAGCCCTACAGTCAGGGGTTTATTTGTTCAGGTCCAGGACTGCACACTGAAAGAATGAAGATAAACTAAGCTTATAGTCAAAGCACAGGTGAAACCATGTGTCTGTTGTTTGTGTTTGCTGGGCTACTCAACCCGAGGGAGTGAATTTGAGCTTGGGGGACACTCACAAGGAGTTTGGAATTTAGCGAGGAGTTTTCCAAACTCCCTCTACATTGCTATAACCACTGAAAGTGCACAAAGATCCCAAGTTTTATCTAGAAACTAGGCAGAGAGGTTTAGGCCCAGTTCAGTAAGATCATTAAGTAAATTCACTCGGCGTACTTGGCTTTGTAGCTGTCAGGCTTTCTGAGACTGAAACCGGATTCCAGCCACAGCATGCAAGCCAGCTGTGCAGTGGACTCACCTGGGTGCTTAGAATGCTGCTGGTTAAGCATTCACAGCAACCATTGAAAATGCTGCGGTCATCTGGGAACTTTCCTTTTCTCAACAGCACTTTTCTTTCCAAGAAAGCCTGCCAACTGAGGACTGGGGTCCTGCCTTCTTGTGCCCGCTACACTTTCCGGAGTCCAGCTCTGTGAATGCCTTATTGTACCATTATACTCCCTAAATCCTGGCCTTAGGATGTAGAAAACTGTTAAACAAGCATCTTACCGAACAACAACGGTTTGCAGCTCTGTAGAGCCTTCCATCTAAGGAGCCCCAAGTGTTTTACAACCATGGATGAACAGAGCCTCACAATATCCCCAGTTTACAGATCATGGAACAGACTGATCGGTCCAAACTTGTCCACACAATGAGACAGTGGAAGACCTGTGAATAGAATCCAGGAGTCCTGATTCCCAATGCCTGCTTTAACCTCTAGTCCACACTACTCTAAATTTAGTCTACCTTCCCTCTCTCTTTTTAATGATGCCCCCAATCACCTAGTTCTGCACAAGAAAGCTGTCCACCCTGTGATGCCATTACTTGCCCGACATATCCCTGCACACAGCTATGTCCAGGAAGGACTTAACAACCATTCCAGACATTCCTTTTCTCCCAGAAATCACTCTCCCTCACTTTAGTCTGAGCAGAACTTATCGCAGACTTGTGCAGAGCCCCGAACTTGCAACATTTTTATTTGCAAGTTTGATCATGAAATGATTTGAATTAGCACAAATGTGCATGGGACTCGGGTTAGCGCTCTCCTTACTCCTCCAGCCCAGCTCGGGCAGGTCTACGTTACACTGGAACCTACTAGGCACGCTACCAAGTCTGACGCTGCTTCTGGCAGAAGAAAAACCACACAGTGCATTGAGCTGTGTTAGGCTCTCTACAACAAGGCTTTTCCTTAACGCTAAAAGGGGGGTGGCCCCATCAGTCTTTCATTTATTTTTACTGCTCCCTTAAGGTAATCCTTTAGTCAGCCCTAGGCAATATGACAATGATACAAGAGAGAGCAGCTGTCAGTTCTTTGGGACACTCAATCATTGAATGCGTTTTCCCCACACAGCCTGAGAGAGTTTGCTGGCTTACCTCCCTCTGCCACCCTGTCCTACAGCCTTAGGAGCCGCCCATACAACAGGCTGTTCTCCTGCACCTCAGGAGCTTCCACACCAGTCTCACTAGATGTAAACACGGAGCTGCTGATTTTGTTTTATAAAGCAGCTCAGTGGTCTGAACACAATCCCAGGAGCCAGGAACTCCTGAGTGCCAAGCCTCCCTCTCCTGCTGTCTCTGTGGCCTCAGGCACTTTCTGCCCACGTTTCCCCTTCTGCTAAATTGGCTTCATAATATTACTGACTTCAGGAGTAATAAACATGACATCACATGCAATTTTTAATGGCGTATCTTATTCTTTTTAAAAACAGATGATTGTTATCCATAAGAATTCATCTGTTCTTCACACACTTCATTCTTGCCTCTTTTACCCTGCATTCAGCAGAATCCCAGATTTCAAGAGAGCCGTCAGGAATGACCAATACGAAAGCTTTGGGCCTAGGTCTCTGTGGGAACAATCTATCTTTCGAGGAATTAAATACTTTCCTCTCACACCATGAAGGATTAAGCCATTTTTTCCCTTCATGTGGTGCTTTTATTTCTTTCTGTCTTGCGAGCATTACTACACATCTGTTGGCAGCAACCTCCCACATGTTTTGATTCCGAAGTCAAACAAATAACCCTACCTCCAGCTAAATCTGTCTGCATCAATCTCCTCACATTGGTCCCTGTGATATCAGAGGGTGTTTTCCCCCTCAGAGCTCACTGAAGGGATCACTGAGAATA